TTCTCTTTGGAGGGTGAGACAAGGTGATCTCCTTAAAGAGAAATTGACATATGGCTTTACCAAACTGTGGACTTTACTTTCTCTTGCTTTTTGAACAGCAGCCTCCACCGCCAGTGAATTTGGAGCTGGATACATTTGGCAGGATGGGAACCCGCAGGATGCAGCTGGTATAGCTTGTCTGGTGTTCTAAAAATTGTCTGTCCACATGATGGATTTAGCCAGGCATTTACTGCAGCTGCTAATAAACCATCTAGAGCTGGCAGGTTAATCTCACTCCTAGGAAGTGAATCCAGAACACAGAAAACCATGTGTGTCTGATAACCTGAGAGGAAATAGGGAAGGGATCAGAAAAATGGCAGGGCAGGAGACATCCCGCATAGATCCTGGCTTCTTTGCTGTCTTTAATTCTGACATATCAGAGCCTTAGGTGAAAAAAAAACCCTAGAAAATAAAATAAAAATAATGCAGAACTAATTAGAAACTAATTGAAGGCAGCTGCACTGGGAACTATCTGAAGACCTGGCACAGGTCCTGGTCCATCTGCTCCTATGGTTGGAAGGAACAAAGGGCATTTGTGTGCCATGCTTTGACATTCAGAGCTGCAACAGAGGGGCAGGACTCAGAGAGTTCTCCCCAATGGGCACTTCTGAGAGAAGGTTCTGATGGTTCAAGGTGCACCGTCTGTTCACCCCACAAGTGGCAATGCACAGAGGCCACTTGAAGAACACGTACTTTTGGACCTATTTTCAGTCCGAAGCTGCAGGAAAGCCTGAGGCAGGACTGCTGGGCAATGTATTCCGATTCTCATGGGCCAAGAAAGGCAGCTTATAGACTGACAGATGTATTGGAGCATAAGCTTTTGTGGGCAAAGACCCACTTCGTCAGATGCACGTCACATGCATCTGACAAAGTGGGTCTTTGCCCACGAAAGCTTATGCTCCAATACATCTGTGAGTCTATAAGGTGCCACAGGACTCCTTGTCACTAAGTACTTAGCATTCCTAATGGTTATTTATCTACTTTCAAACTTTATTTATTCCTTCTCTCTAGTGATTTCTGAGCATTTATAATCTACAGGGACACAGTGCATTCATAGATCACAGCAAAATCCAATATTAGTGAAGTACCATTGTTCTTTCTGTATAAATTGCAGACAATTAGGAGCTGTCACTAGAACAATTAGTTTAAAAATTGAAAACAGATAAAACAATGATGAGCCATGTATTCACTTAGGGCTTGATCCCAGGAGTTTTCCGTGCACAAAGCTCTCCCTGAAATGCAGTGTGATTACTGTACATGTAGGGCTCATGAAAAAGAACCTACTTTAATGCTCATCTGATGAAGTGGGTTTTGCCCATGAAAGCTACTGTGTGTTTTTATTATTAGTCTCTAAGGTGCCACAGGACCTAGTTTAATGGAATGGAGATTGTGCAGTAGCAGACTCAACTGTTGCCACTGTCTGCAAGTGTGAATTGCCAGGATCACTATAGTGGACAGGAGTGCTGACCAGCACCCAGTGACTAAGGGGTTAAGCGCAGGTACCTAGCAAGGTGTTGGCCAGGGGGCCAGGAGAACTAATCAGATAGGCTATGTCTAGACTGCAAGCCTCTTTCAAAAGAGAGCGTCTAGACTGCACGTTGAACTTTCGAAAAAGCGGCTTGCTTTTTCGAAAGAAAGCATCCAGTGAGTCTGGATGCTCTCTTTCGAAGAAGCCCTATTTACATTGAAGAACGCCTACTTTCGAAAGAGGAACTTTCGAAAGAAGGCGTTCTTTCTCGTGAAATGAGGTTTACCGCCATCGAAAGAAAAGCCGCGTTCTTTCGATTTAATTTCGAAAGAACGCGGCTGCAGTCTAGACACAGGTGAGGTTTTTTCGAAAAAAGGCTACTTTTTTCGAAAAAACCCCTGAGTCTGGACACAGCCATAGAGGGGTGAAATCTGAATTGGATATTGGTTCCTTGCCTGCTTTCTTTGTATGGGAGAGAGAAACCAGGATTTGAGAGACACAGAATGATGTAAACCCAGGCAGAAACCCCATGCCCCCACGGAATTCCTGGGATGGGAGAGGACTGAACAAAGGGAAAATTAGAAGTAAGTAAAAGGGAAAAGTGAATCCAGTTGCGTTCAGGGTGTTTTTCTTTATTTTGCAGTTTGGTTTGAACTGCTCTGTGTGATTCTGTGCCTCCCCTCCCCCATTACCATCTAAGCACTGTTCTTAAAGATTTTCTGTGTGTTTTTTTAAATTTGTTTTCCTTAGTGCTCTGTAACCTCTAGCAAGCAAGTATACTTTATGAAGTATATCTTTTGTTTTGTAATCAAAATCACTTTTTTTCAGGTGATGATTTGTTTCTTGTGTCCTGGAAGGTCTGACTGGGCTCGTCTACACTGGCCCCTTTTCCGGAAGGGGCATGTAAATTTCACCTATCGTAGTAGGGAAATCCGCGGGGGATTTAAATATCCCCCGCGGCATTTAAATAAAAATGTCCGTCGCTTTTTTCCGACTTTTAGAAAAAAGGCTCTTATTCCTACTTTGAAGTAGGAATAAGAGCCTCCGGAAAAGGGCGCTTTTTCCGAAGGATCGGGGCCAGTGTAGACGCTCTTTTCCGGCTTTTTTAAAAGCCGGAAAAAAGCGGCGGACATTTTTATTGAAATGCCGCGGGGGATATTTAAATCCCCCGCGGATTTCCCTACTACGATAGGTGAAATTTACATGCCCCTTCCGGAAAAGGGGCCAGTGTAGACGTAGCCTCTGTGTGTATCTGCATGCCTTGGACTGCGGGGCCAGCCACCAGAGATTGCAGCTTGTTTTTCTCTTTTCTTTTTTTCAAGCTCTTCTGGGCCAAAAGAGCTCAGGCTACCCCTGAGGGTGATTTCAGATGTTCATCCCCATTTTTTTAGGGATAAAAAGCACTTGATGGTGGCAGCAATTCCCCAGAATTTGTGGATTATGATTCTGGGGGGAAGTTTTTGTAAGTAGTGCCTGTAGAGGCAAAGGTTGTTTTTTTTTTGAGCTCTTTGCAGGACCCCATCTTCTGCACTCTGAGTGCCAGAGTGGGGAATATCCCTAATGATCACAGTTACAGTGACAGTTGTACAGTAGACAGAACCAGGGGTGCCAACAGCCTCTGTGGGCCCCTGGGCAAGATTGGGGGAAGGCATCACCCTGCTCCCAGAAGGGACAGGGCCTCAGACAGAAGGGCCAGGGCTTGGGCAGCTAGCCCTCAGCGCCACTCTAAAAGTATGTGAATTGGTGCTCTGGCAGTGATTTAAAGGGCCCAGGGCTCCATCAACTGCCACTGCCAAGCCAGGACAGGATCCTTTAGTCTTTGTAGTGGTGATTCTAGTGTCAGTGCAAATAGCTGCTTTTGCTTTCTGCATTTCCTAAGGCTGTGCGTGTGTATAGGGGGTGGTGGGGGGAGAAGGAATGTACAGGGACAGGGCAGGTTGTTTTATGAAATCCAGATTCTTTGGCAATAATTTGAGAGTGTGCATAATATTTCTATTTTGTATGTCTGTTTAGCAAATAACGCTACCATTTCGATTGGCGCGTCCACACCTCAAGTGCGTTTTTGTGCAAGTAAATTTACAGTAAATCAAAAGAACAGAGGGGTTTTTGCGGTATAGGTATTCCTCTTTCTACGAGGCATAACTCCTTTTTGTGCAAGAGTTCTTGTGCAAAAAGGTGTGTGTGGACAGGCAACAGGGGATTTTTGTGCAAAAAGAGCCAATCAAAAAAAGCACAGGTGCCCTTGTGGCTACTCTGTGAATAGCAATCAGAGCTTTCTTTCAAGAAAGCATCCATGCAGTTTGCACGCTCTCTTGCGCTTGGAAGTGTGGATGTGCTCTTATGCAATAAGTTTTTGTGGAAGATCTTTTCCTCAGCACAAGAGACCTGTAGTGTAGATGTAGCCTGAGATTTGCATAAGGCTATTTCCAATTTCAGAACAGAGATTAACTTGAGCTTTGTCTTGAAGTAGGTGTAGTGTGAATTGATTCTTTTCTTGAAACATCAGTATAAGAGGATGGCAGTGGAAATGTGCTTAGTTTTGTCATGAATTTCTGTTTTTTTAAATACATTACAGCTCAGTGAGCAAGATCTGTTGATAGCCCTTTATCAATTTTTATTATTTCTACCTTTTACAACCCTTTATTCAACTTCTTGATTTTTATAACGTTGTTTGTACAAGAAAGTTAACAGTATGAGTTCACAGTGGTGTTTTTTCTGTCTCCTTAGATGGGAAATATTGACAGAACTGCCAAAACAAACTTTATTTTAAAAGAGACAAACAAGGTCCTTAACTAATATACATTAGAATAATGCCTTTGAAACCAGTGGCTCTATGATTCACATCAGATGAAGAACTGATCAAGTATATATAAAATTGCTACTATTTAACCTTAAGAGAAAAAGAATCATAGATGGCAAAGACAGATTTGGCCATCTAGTCCAACCTGTCCTGACAAGACAGGATTGTTCCCTTTCCTGCACAATACACTATTCTCCACTGTTTTATTCCTGTCTAGTTTTAAATGTCTCAGGCACAGGTCTCTCCCATTAAAAGTCCATTATTGAGTATAATGTGTCTTGAGTAGGACTTTCAAAAGCGCCCAGAACTACCTAACTCAGCTCCCACTGAAATCAGTGGAAGCCACTGACTTCAATGGGAACAGCATTAGACCAATGTTAAGCCTTTACTTCACTTGTTACTCTTAAGAAATGCTTTCCTGCTTGTGAGCCTAAATTTTCCTTTCCTTATTTTCATCCCATTTTTTCCTCATAATCGCCCATAATTGTCCCCAGAGATGCCGCTCTTTTTCCCCTGGGTTAACATCTTTAAAATGCATAGACAGTTGTTTAAAATTTTATTGAATAATTATTTTAAGTTCTTTCTCTCTTTTTTTAAAAAGGGTGCCCTGGAAAAGAAAAAAAAAAGGCAAAGGGTTATGCAGTCAGTGGAAAATTCCAGTTGGACTACAACAGTATAAAAGTTGCCTCTCACCTTGCGTGTTAATCTTCTCTTTATCTCCCGTTTTTCCTCCTGCTCCTCTTGCTCATTCCGAGCTAGAAAAAGATTTATACAAGGTTCTAGACTGCTGGCGTGATCACAATGCACAGTTTGCAACAAATAAACCTCTCCATCAGTGTACTTATGTTTCAGGACTTCTCAGATGCAGAGATAGTCCTTCTAGGAACAACCAATTCCCCTACCCAATAGCTATTGCACTTCCTTCCATGCCTCAAAAAATATCCCTATCTCAGTATAGGTATGATTTTTCTTTTTTGTACATTTCAATTTCTAGCGCTCCTAGGCATTCAGCCAGTGCTTCTGAAATGGTTATCTCCATTCTGGTGGCCTAGCAGTGGACAATGATCATATCGCTAGCTTCTGAGAAGAGTGAGTTGAAAGGGCAGATGCTTGGGAAGAAGCAAAAATATTTTCCCCTGGTTCTAGAATAATTGATCAACAGCTACTCCATTGAGAGGGCAGAAAAGAAGCTTTGTTAAACCTACAAAAGCATCATCAGTCCTTAAACTTAAAGGCTACGTCTACACTATGAGTTTAGCCACAAGAGGCTAAACAAATGAAGCACGGTTTTTGCGCAAAACAGCCACGGCCACACTGCCTGTTTTTGTGCAAAAAACCATAGCACAAAAATAAATGAAAGAGAGTATGCAAATGAAGCATGGGAAAATGCTAATCCGTGCTTCATTTACATAGGCTCTTGCCACAAAACCATAGTGTAGACGTAGCCAAATTTCCAAAAGTTCTTAAAAGTCCCATTTTCAAAAGTGACAAGCACTTTGGAGTTTAAATCTCACTTAAAGTCAGTGGGATGTAGAAACTTAAACAATGGGATATAGGCTCCTAACTCAGGTAGGACTCACTGCAGCAGTTAACTCGAGAATAACTTGAGTGTGGGCTGATCCAAAAGAGGATACAGGCTAGATTTAGCCCAGCCTGTCAACTACTAACGCATCTGTGCCTCTTCCTGCACTCAACTGAAGAAGTGGGTTGTGCCCATGAAAGCTCATGATGCTATCTATATTTTGTTAGTCTCTAAGGGTATGTCTACACTACCCCCCTAGTTCGAACTAGGGGGGGTAATGTAGTCATACGGAGTTGCAAATGAAGCCCGGGATTTGAATTTCCCGGGCTTCATTTGCATAAAGCCGGCCGGCGCCATTTTTAAATGCCGGGTAGTTCGGACCCCGTGCCGCGCGGCTACACGCGGCACGGACTAGCTAGTTCGGATTAGGCTTCCTAATCCGAACTAGCTGTACGCCTCATTCCATGATTAGGAAGCCTAATCCGAACTAGCTAGTCCGTGCCGCGTGTAGCCGCGCGGCACGGGGTCCGAACTACCCGGCATTTAAAAATGGCGCCGGCCGGCTTTATGCAAATGAAGCCCGGGAAATTCAAATCCCGGGCTTCATTTGCAACTCCGTATGACTACATTACCCTCCCTAGTTCGAACTAGGGGGGTAGTGTAGACATACCCTAAGGTGCTACAGGACCACTCAGTTATGGAGTAACATGGCTATCGCTCTGAGACTAATAATCAGTTTGTGTAGCTTGAATGTTATTTCACAGTGTGTCTGGTTCTCACTTGAGCTAGGCCAACTCAAGAGGAGTTAAGTTAACTCTGCCGTGAAGCCATATCCTTATTTAGACAATTTTTGAAAGTTTACCGCCGTTGTTTAGGCATAGTCCTAATACACAGATAATTTATCTAACTAAACCCTAAGCCACTGAGCTGCTGGAGTGGACTCTAAGGCTGAGTTCCTTCAATGAGTCAAGAAACAGTGATATCACTTGACTCATGCAGTATATTCTGTATATAGTACCTGTCATTCACGGATCTCAAAGCATTTTAAAATGGTGAATATTACTCCTGTTTTAGAGAAAGGGAAGATAAAAGCTGTTCTACACATAATCTGAGTGCTGATTTAACTGAACTGGTGCTGGAAGCAATGTAGTTCAATCAGGGCAAATCCTTGCTGCGGGTATTTTTAAAACCATTACCAACTGAATGAAGCTAAGCAAATTTAAGGCACTCAATCTGTTCTAAAAGTGTTCACACCACGAATTTATTTAAGAGGATGCCATTAAACTGGTGTTCATAGTGGGCATAGACCAGCCTTACAGCACAGAGAAGCTATTGGTCTTGTCCATGATCACAGAGCAAATTGGAGGCAGAGCTAGGATTAGAAAACGGGTTTCCTGATTCCTAGTCTGAGACTCTAAACAGTAGAGATGAAATCCTGGGTCCAGTGAAGTCAATTGCAAAACTCCCTCTGACATCAGTGGGACCAGGATTTCCCACTAGAAATGCACCAATTCAATACATGCTGTGCACAGCCATCTCCTATTTTAATAGGGCTCTCTAATTTCAAATGGCAGATTCCCAGTAATGCTTTTAAAACACCATTTTCTGGAGGAAGGAATTTCATGTGGTAGCTTGATAAATAGACAGCAGAGAACAGAACCCAAGCACCTTTTCTATATGGTTTTTGGATATATGTATTGCTAAATACTGTTTCTTTTTCTTTTTTCTTCAAGTTCTCTGCATAGTTTTTTTTCCCTCCTGGCTCCAATCAGATAAATGTATTATTCTGCCCAAAATCTAAGGAGCAGATCCTGTCAACAGTTTACTCATGGAAGCAGTGCCACTGAGAAAATCTTTGCAGGATCAGGCTGTGAATTGGGAGAAGCAAACCGATTCTAACTCAGGATTCAGAATAGAACAAATTGTCTGAAAGGCTACAAAAAGGTGTCTGAAACAGCAGAAATAAGGCTTCTTAACAACAGCACCATTTTTCCTGTCTCCTTGCTTCCTTCAGCCCAGTTACCAAGCTTTAGAGACAACTGGGCAGGGCGAAACCTTTACCAACTAAAAGTTGGTCATTGGCAATCGTCCTTGTCAAGCCAGAAAGGGATTTCTTTATCTTAAAACAAGGCTAAACTGATGCAATCCTTTTAGATCTACAGAGATTACAAAACAGTTGCTTTGTGTGTTGTAAGCAGTCAGGAGATTCCCTCTCTCGCTCTAGCCTCTTTGTGTGAGAAGAACTAGAATTTTCAGGTCTGGCGTCAGTGCCAAATGAGACATTTCAACAGAAATTTTGTTGAGACCCAACCCATCCAATCTCATTGCCTTTTTACAGGGAATTTGTGGTCACTGAAGGCACCAAACCTGGCATTCTTAAAACCAACGTCTTTTCTTCATCACAGATACAGTCACCATGCATGTTTCCTCACAAACGAATGTGCTTAGCTCAAGATGTATGGGAGAGGACCAGTTCAGTCTTCATACTTATCCAAGAGACAGAACTGCAGTGCTGTGTTCCTCACCCAATCTGCTTCATGTCCTCAACTCCCATTTAATGGGAGTTGAGGGCATGTTACACTCATGGCCGGTACTCAGCATCTTCCAGCAATAAGCCTTCAGCTTATATATTTATTTAAATGGTGCTACTGAATTATTCTAGGGGAGTGAACCATGCTGTCTTAAAATGCCGTACCATACTGGTATCTGATGCTCCTTTGTTTGGATGTTTAATATTTGCTGTTTTCACTGCAAACTATTTCAATCATTTGTTCATCATGTAAAGGTGGGGAGGGACTTATAAATACAGTTATCATGTAACAATTTTTTCAAGTATTTATGACATTTTATTTACCAACACATATGCTGCTCTATGGCAGATCTGCGGTTTGGCGCCAAACTATAAAGCTTTTATTTAGGTGCCAAAATGTAGTTCCAAATTAGGGTAGCAGGTTGCTAAGTGACTTAATTGCTTTTGAAACTAAGTCCCATTTTAAAAAATCCCGAAGGATACATCTAGACAGCACCCTTCTCTTGGAATAAGCTACGCAGTTTGTGCTAAGCGAATTGCATAGCTTATTCCTAGTCTAAACTGAAAGAGCTTATTTTGAAATTTGGTGCTGTGTAGACAGCAGCAAATTTCAAAATAAGGCACTATTCTGACAAATCCCTTAGTGTGAGGGTTACAGGGACACTGGAATAGTGCTCCCGCTATTTCCTGAAATAGCAACACCGTCTAGACATAGGCTCAAGATGTTGAGTCCCAATGAGACTAAGATTCCTAAGTGACTTGGGCATTCTGAAAATTGTACTCAGAATAGCCTGTCTTTAGATACCTAGGTTTTCAAATGTTGGCCATTAAGTCTATGGTTCAAGGCTGCCAACGCTGCAGCCTCAAGCTTCCTCCACTTTTACCAGTATGGCTTTTACGGGACAAGGTGGTTCATGCTGACTGGGAATTGTAGGGTGAAAACATGAGCTACTGCAGAATGTGGCTCTGGACACATTGTCTGTTTTTCCTGACCTCCAGAAGACTTACTCCCTCTAACTGACATGACATAGAAATTTAGAGTAGATAATAGGAGATCATACACTCACAAGTGGATTCCAATTGAATGATGATCCTGTATCTGCTTACATTGGCTCTGATAGCTAATCTAATCATATTGTATATCTATAATGATCTATCAGTCTAGTTCTGTGCCATAATTGTAGACAACCAATCACTGCAGTGCTAGCACATTTTATCCCCTAACTACACCACTGAAATGTTAGAAATTTGATTTCATCATATTTAAGAAGTTAATTTTATTCATTTATAGAAAGCTAATCACCTATTACATGCCTGTAGGATTCTGTACAAAGTAGAAGTTAAAAAACAACAAAAATATACAGTGTTTAACAATAGGATCCTACCTCAAGACACGCTAAGGAATTTAAACATGCTATTTTAGAATATTTTTTCTTATAGTTTTTTTTTAATATTCTAGTTCCATGCTCCTGAAAGGCTGCAGAGTACATCACTCAAGCAAGAGCACTGGTGAAAAATATATTCCTTTACCTGTAAATAAAGACCTTTAACCTGTTTATGTGTAAAATCATTTTGATTTGATAAAAATTAAAAATTACTAACATAATTTTTTCAAAATCTGACTCATTCAGTAGAATAATTGTTATTTAGGATTCAATCTTATCCTTGAAATCAGAGGCAAAACTGGAGCTGTCTAGAACAGAATCAGGCTGTCTGGGTAGCTTTTTTGTGGTTTTAAAGTATCATTAAATACTTCAGGGATGTTGCATCTCCCCATAGGTTTGTTTGTTTAAAGAAACAACAGAGATTAGAATTTAGAAGCTGTGTGCTAAATCCTGATGTCTTCACTGGATTTCAACGGGAGGTTTGCCTGCATAAGAACTTTGGAAGATGACCCTCAGTTTGAATTGTCTCCCTAGACAGTTTACATTGGTTATCTAATTGAATGGGTTTCTTACAGTCATTCCCACCCAAACACAGCTCTAATACATATTATTACTTATTTGTGACATAGCTGCAGTGTATTTGGAGCTTTATAAATGACATATAGCGGCAAACAAGTTTAATTCCAAATGACAAAATACTCACGTTTCAGAATGTTCCTCTGCTCCAGTTCTTCAGCAGTGGGCCTCTGGCTCAGTCGTCTGCGAAAAAAACCCAGGATCAGTTTTTGGACCATATCACACCTTCCATAGTTCAACGTGTAAAGGAGTGACTTTGCAGTGCAAAAGGCAGAGAGCGAGGCAATGACATTGCTCCACTATGCTCCACATTGTGCGTGATATTACGGTGCTCCTTCTATTTCCAATCCATGAAAACCACAATGCATTGTGTCACATTTACATGACCCTCCCACTCCGGGGCAAATCTGCTAAAAGTTAGGCTGTGCAAGTTTCTTCACTTAATTTCCTTCCTTTCATGCCTGCTTCCTGACTTTCACAAATATAACAAGCTTAGTTCTAGCTCTCTCCCTCTCTGCCCTCCAGGCCGCTATATGTGAGCCTCCTGACTGTACCCAACTTGTTCAAACAGAGTTTGAACACAAAGCCAGTCCACAGAAACAAGGAGGCATAGTTAGGCTTTGCAGATTGCAGAACAATAGCAGCTCTTCTCTTCCTCCATTCCTACTCTCCCCTTGGGAAGCTTTATTAAATGTACTAATTACAAATGAATATGAATTAAAATCACTTGGCAGTCAACCTGTACGTAATACAGCCACAACAAATAAGATCTAATTCCAAAAGGGGGCTGCAAACAGAAAACTATGATTAGAAAGCAAGAGAGCAGCAGAAAAGGGCATTAGAAAAACAAGGTAAACCAGCAGAATTACCTCAGAAATTAACAATTGTTGAGCCTGCTCTAACTCCCATTGAAGTCAATCAGAGTTTTGCCATTGACTTCAATGGGAGCAGTAACAGAACATTAAATCTCCATCCAAAGCATGAACTTGGGCCCTGATCCTGTGCTGATTACCCTCCACACACAGCGCAGTCATTTACATGGGGGAAACAGATGACTTCCATTTCAATAAATGGAAGGTGAGGCCGTCTGGTGCAATGCAGGATCAGCGCTACTCTCTGGCAAAGTTGAGGAAATCATTTCAGGCTTCTCAGAACACACTGGCCACAAGCTGCACTTGTGCCAAGGAATGCACAGCCTGCCACTGGAGGGGAGTGAGTTCTTCAAACTACCATTGGGCACCCCTGATTCTGGAGACAAGTATCAGAGGGGTAGCCTTGTTCGTCTGAATCTGCATAAACAACGAGCCTATAAGGTGCCATAGGACTTTTCTAGTTGTTTATCCTGATTCTGGCGCCACTGTGCGTCAATCTCATAACCAAGCATAAATTAAAGCAGCCTAAATACTGCTCTACATTGTGTTCATTCCCTATGGCCTCAAGGAGTTGCTACAACAGCTGGGATTCTCAGGACTGCTGGGAATTCTTCTAGGCATACACCCTGTGCCAGAGGGGTAGAGAGGGACATACCAGAGGTACCACCACTCAGCTTTGTGAAGATTCCCATATGCAGAGGGATAATCCAGATACTCTGGTTTTAGGACTTATTTGCACCCACTGCAGCAGCAAAAAGTAATCGTAATATAATAGAGAATTAGGACTGTTAGCTTGGTCTCTTTGCCATGGTGGAATGGACAATTACTTCATTGGAAAAGTGCCGAGAAGGACAAAAACTCATCCTCAATTCAGAATTAATGAATGTTTGTAAGGCACTCTGACAATGGAAAGTGCTATTCAAACACTATTAATCGTGATTGTCTTTAAGACACAGTAGCTGTTCCTAACGGGGTGTTTGGATAGTCACCTTAGCGGCAGGAGATTATTAAAAGCTTTTTGTTACTAGCACTGTAAGGAAATCAAAGACTAAAGTTACCTAGTTTAGCTTGGCACGCACAGCTCTAGTGACAGTTATATAATGCTTCTTGTGCATCCCACTGTGAGCATTCTTTGGAAGACGCATCAGAGGAAGGCTGAGGACAGATTCCAGCCACTAAGCATGTGACCATTTCCACAGGGATAAACAGCACACAGTAAGAAAAAAGACCAATCATTGTGACTTTATGAGGAGGAGGCTACTGTCAAGGGCCTTTTGGCCTCAGTAAAAAAACAAAACAAAACACAAAACCAAAATGGGATTAAAAAGGATCAACTAAAAGTCTTATATTTTTCAGACAGAGTAATTGAATGATGACCCATTTGCACACACAGGGCCAAATCTGTGACTTCAGTTTTTGTCTGAGTGAGGAATGAATGAAAACTGAGTTACGCATGTGATCATTTAGCTCATAATGAAAAATATTCTCTAGGGCAAATCCTTAACTGGGATAAATCAATGCAGCTTCACTGAACCAATACAGCTATCCTGATTTATACCAGCTGATGGCCTGGCCCCTTAGCTTTATCTCCTGACAGGACCATGAGAAAAATCTAAATGGAGTCACAAGCGCTATGCAGTTTAGATTACCTTGTGAATGATGGGACAAGCAGGGGCTAGGCTTGCCGGATGGTTTCAACAAAAATACCAGACACACTTGACTTTACATCACAATCTACATTACATCTTATTTAGAAAATACCGGACATTTATATTTTCTCATTTATATTTTCTCAATTTGTTTCCTGAACAGAAAGCTCAAATACTGGACTGTCCAGATCAAAACCGGACACCTGGGAACCCTAGCAGAGGCCTATCCTAAGGCTATTATAATTACAGTATATTTAATGCAAGGACATTGGTAGGCTTGAGCCAGCTGTTGAGAGTATAAAAACTTCTCAGACTATTGCATTGATATAGGCCAAATGGCATGGGTTCCTAGAACATTTATAGAGTTTTGTATCAATAAATGTTCCATTTTCATGCATTTGTGGGTCAATGGAGGTTTTCCCAGGGAATCAGAAATCCATAGAGAGTGATTCATTAAAAATCCCAAAGCTGCTCATACAGATACCTTTTCAGGCTTGACCTGCTGAGGAGAGGGGAAATTTTCAGGAGGCTAGGAGACAAAGCCAAGGTTTTGGTATGAAAGACTGGACTTATCCTGACAGAGAAGCCTGCATTTTGAATCAACAAATGGACCTGACCTTTGGTCCAAGCAGGGATCCAACCCTGCTGAAAGGCTGGAAGAACTTTGCCCAGCCTGACTCCCTCAGTTGAATGATAGGGAGACTTCTGATACATTAAGTATGTGATCCTTTGGCCTTTTTATGGTTTCTCTATGCTTCTGTCTTTAAATAAATGCACTCTGCTTAGAAAGCTCCATATAATCACTTACAATCACTGGCATTCCAACATCATAGCCCTTGGGGGAAAAAAAATCAAAGTGCAGGGGCTGGCCATTAGTCAGACCTGATTGTGATAATCACTCTGCAGCTACAGACTGCTTCAGTGTAAAACCCCAGTCTGGAGAGAGTGGACATGGGTTCCTGTCCAGAAAGAGGTGCTGGAGGCCTGAGAGGGTATTCCTAGAGCCGACCATGGAGAGGGACACAGGGGCAGTTGCCCTGAAACTGCAACATTATCTTTCTCCCGAATAACAGCCAGATAAAGAAATGCTGATCATAGCCTTCCAAAAGTATTCTTCAGCTCAATATTAATTGTAGGGATTAGAAGAGAGATCAAAAAGAAAAAAAATGAAATCTCGTGTTTCCACCCGTACATTAACTGGTACCAGAAGTGAGGAAAGAATTGCCTTCAGTCCTCCTGGCCCAGCACAACACAACTGTCTAAGTGCATTTAAGGGGCTCAAGAGTTGACTCTCTTTTGCAGCATCAGTTTTTTACCATGGCTAGGGATACCAAAACTTGAGGCGTTTATTTTGCTATTGAGAACCAGCCTTCTCTAATCATTCTTCTCCAATCAAGATTTATTAGATGGGGGAAAACATTGTCTTGTCAATTAAGTTCTCAGTTGCCTAACATGCTAAACTGAAGGCTTCTCAAGCAAGAAATCCCTATCCAAAGCACTATATTGAACCTCAACACTCTACACTTGTGCACTTCCTGACAGAAAAGATCACTGAGATATTGATCAAACTGTAAATGTGCCTGACACACTTTCTCTTCCTTCAAGTTTTGCTTCCTGCCAGTTCTTTTTGTTGCAGGTCTCTTGGCACCTTTCAGTACAATGCTTCTCTCTTTTTATTTTAACTGATTTTTAATTTCCCAGGGAAACCTGTAAGGTTCATTAACTGAATCTTAGCTATCAAATAACTATCAATATTCAGCCCCAGTTATATTTGTGCAGTCAAATACAAGAACTTAAAAGCGATGAAATGGCTAGGGCAAATCTTTTAAAAAGTGGAGGTCAAATCCTAGTGAGGAAAATAGAAAGGAGCATAAACTTTGTCAAATTAAGTGTAAAAATATAATAAGAAAAGCCAAAAAGGAGTTTGAAGAACAGCTAGCCAAAAGCTCAAAAAGTAACAGCAAAATGTTTTTTAAGTACACCAGAAGCAGGAAGCCAGCTAAACAACCAGTGGGGCCCTTGGAGGATCGAGATGCTAAAGGAGCACTTAAAGATGATAAAGTCATTGCAGAGAAGCTAAATTAATTCTTTGCTTCAGTCTTCACGGATGAGGATATTGGGAAGATTCCCAAAGCTGAGCAATCCTTTTTAGGTGACAAATCCGAGGAATTGTCCCAGACTGAGGTTTCATTAAGAGGAGGCTTTGGAACAAATTGATAAACTTAACAGTAACAAGTCACCGGGACAAGAAGGCATTCACCCAAGACTTCTGAAAGAACTCAAATGTGAAATTGTGGAACTATGAACTGGGGTTTGTAACCTATCCTTTAAATAAGCTTCTGTACCTAATGACTGGAACATAGTGAATGTAACGCCAATATTTAAAAACAGCTCTAGAGGTAATCCTGGCAATTACAGACTAGTAAGTCTAATGTCAGTACCAGGCAAATTAGTTGAAACTATAGTAAAGAACAAATTGTCAGACTCACAGATGAACATAATTTTTTTGGGGGAAAGACAACATGGTATTTGGAAAAGGGAGATCATGCTTTACTAATCTACTAAAGTTCTTTCAGAGGGTCAACAAACATGTGGACAAGGGAGATCCAGTGGATATAGTATACTCAGATTTCCAGAAAGCTTTTGACAAGGTCCCTCGACA